GAACACAAGCAGGGAGAGCAGGAGAGGGAGAAGCAGGTTTCTTGCCGAGCAGGGAGCCTGATGTGGGACTCGATCCCAGGACCCTGGGATCATGACCTGAGCCGAAGGCAGACGCTTAACGACTGAGCCACCCAGGCGCCCCTGGTCTGTACCTTTTAATCTCACCCCCAACTGCACCCTATTTGGCTGCCACAGGCCGGTATCGCACATCTCTTCTAGTTCCTCTGATGGCCTAGCTCTTCTCTTATTTCATTCATGTTCTTTCTCCCTCTTCCATTATCTCCACTTAAAGTGTGTCCCTCGCTTTCAGTGCCCAGGCTGTCCTCCTCGAGGTCCCTCCTAATGTCACTTGTGTTGTCACCTACTTGCTTTCACCTTGCCTCACCTACTAATCATCACTTCCTAGGCTGTCACCCTCATCACCTACCTGGCCCAGCCTGGCCCCACTGCCCCGACTGGAAAGGAAGCATCGAATCGCGGTCAGGGGGAACCTTCCCGGGTGGGGGCGCCAGGGGCGGGTCTTGCTCACCGCCCCCGCAGGGAAGCTGCAAGGAATGCTTCATCGCCCTCTGTGCCTGTTTTCCTCCTTCTGTTTTCTCCCAATCCCACAAAACCACCACCCTTTTATTCTCTCCGTGAGCGCCGGAATCGCCTCTTGCTCTCAGTTGCGAGGAAAGGTCTCCCGGCAAAGGCAGAAAGGTGCCGCTCTACTTGAGAATTGAAGTATAAAGTGGGTGCTGGTGTCTGCGCATCAGTGAACAGAACCTGGGCCAAGCCCTAGGTGAAGGGGCAGGGTGGTTGGCGCTGAGCCAATCGTAGCTCGTGACGACAGGGCCCAGCCAATCAGAACGCGGGAGGCTTGGCGCACTCAGGGCGGGGCCGGACGGGTGGGAACCCGCCCCCTTGCAGCTCGGTGGCCAACGCCTTCGCCCAGGGTTTGCTGGAGCTAAGCAGGTTCACAGACTCCAGGGACTGGGCACCTTGAGAGCTGGGAGACGGTGCCTTCCCACCCAACTAATTTCTTTACAGGCCTTGGCCTTAACAGGCGTGTTGGTGCCTGCCGTGGACGCATTCTGACCTGCGCTGTATCCCTCTCGGGAGACTGTGCCTATGGTTGGGGCAGAGTGAGGTCGTTGCCTTGACGACGGCAGCATGCGGCCCGCGGACCCCCTGAGTGTGAGCCTGCGGCAGGCCGAGGCCAATCTGCCTCCCTGCCTGATTCGCCCCGGTCCGGTGACTGTGTCTACAGAAGAAATCAGACCAGCTCCGGAATTGCTAGTTTGCTAATCAGCATCTTTTAGACCTGCGAGCGAGATGCATTTCATCTCAAATTTGTTTCCAAGTTGAAAACCTTTGGGTCTTTCCACGTGAAAGGATTTTAAAGAAACAGTAAGTATAATACTTTTAAAAGCTTCTATTATCTCGTTCTCTGATTTGTGATAGATTTCAATCTGTCTTTAACAAAATAAAAAGTTAGCATTATTTTTATTATCTGATTGTTGGTATTAGAACCGTATGCTTAAATGGCACATGTCCAGGAATACCGCATTGCCAATTGGCCAGGCATCCTTTTAGTTTGTATTACCCTTACACACCAGGAGTAGAAGACGTGAAAAATTGTAGTTTATGAGTAACTGTTTCAGGAAACAAGAGGCTTTTTAAGCTGTGAGACTTCTTCTTTTTTTTTTTT